TTAACTTTAAGGCTGCAACAATTTAAGCAATTTCATCTTTTTCTGAATCTTTTTAAGCTCAGTAGGATCTTGCCTTTCTGACAACCAGTTTTTACTTCTTCCTCGTAATCTTACAGACATCTGAGCCACTTTGCGAAGTCCTTCCAAGTCAGGACGTAAGGCAAAGGATGTCCAAGTCTCCAGAAGTTGTTCATATGGATTGAATTCACGAAAGCATTTCATTTTGTCAGGACCTACACTATCAGAGGGATCACTGTTTTTGTTCCCTGAAGATTTATCAATTATGCCATTAGAAGATCTATCATTTGTCCTGTCCCAGGAGTTAATAACTGTCTTTTCTTCCTGTGTGTCAGTCTTTCTTATTCCAGTTTGCTCTCTCCACATGGCCAAAATGTCCTCCCTTGTTCTTTGGGACATTTGCAAACGGACAATATTAGGGCACACTGAATGAGAACGGTTAATAGAAAGAAAGTTTTTCTCTACACTTTTCCCTTGTCTACCGATGCTATCATGAGAGTGTAATGGTGGTAAAGACTCCTGTGATGATTTTGATCTGCTGAACATTGTCCTTGGTCTAGATCCAATTTCATCTGATGAATTATGGGGAGCATCTCTATATAACTGACCGAATTTTTTGTCAGTAGATGGTACTAAACTGGCACTCTGACTCCTGTCATGAACACTTTTTCTGTTTTCAATACTCAGCTGGTCTCTTTCTAATATGTGAAGAAGTGTTCTTTTCTCATAGTCAAGTCTTTTCACCTCCTGATTACACTCGTTTTTTAATCGTTCATGTTTAGAAAATAAAGGCTTGTTTTTGATTGGGGAATGCATCACTTCGAACAATACATGTTTGTCCTGGACGGATGCTGATTGCTTGTAGCGCAGTCTCTGCATTTTCAACAAATATGTCTGGAATGAGTAAAAGTGTTTATGTATGATTAGAAGTGGTGTTTTGCCAATACTGAAGTGCTAAAAAATAGAATATGCACAAATGCAGCCCTTTTGACAGTGGTAATTTCTTTTAGTAAATCATTTCAGCTTGTTTTTCAAAATATGCAATTCTAATAGGCTTGAATGGATAAAAATCTGATGTTGAAAGAACCACAGGTATTTTTTATGCCTTCATCTAAAGTGATTCAACTAATTTTTCTAATTTGGCAGAATTCACTGGTAAAAAAAAAAAAAAAAAAAATTGCCACATTTAGGGTTCAATGTAAATAAATTGCACTGTGATACACATAACACATTAAAAAAAACAAAAACAAAAAAAAAAAACAACCAATGTAGTTCTATGCATCAAGTGCAAATAAACTAAAATCACTACTGAACTTAAGATTTCCAGCTTGAGATTCTTTGTTAAACTTGGGCTTATTTTCACTACATTTCTTGAAATATTTCTATCCAGTTCCTTGTTACTGCCCGAAATGATTAAATCAAAGTCAAATAAATTACTGATGAACACAATTATAAATTATCACCTACCATTTTCTTTCAGAGTTGTGAATCTAAAGAGCATTTGGTTTTTTTTTAAACAACTGCCCTTTTTTCTTTACATATACTACAGACACTCACTAGAAGCATCAAACAAGTCTTGGAGGGAATGGAGAAGAATAGACCTTACCTTCCTCAGACAGTTTCAATACTCTGTTCGGGGAATTTTTTCCTCTTATCCTCTGTCATTATCAACCTTTGTGTAATTCACTTTATCATGTAACAAATACTTCACAACCTTAGGAGTGGTCACATTTGAAACTGATGCCAGTTAATGAGACTATATGGACCAGTGCAATGTTTGGTGACCACACAGTTCCATTCAGGATTAACATGAATTAACCTGCTAGCCATTCACGATTGTAACAACAACTTCACAATACTGTCTCAACAAATGTGGGGGAATACAGAGGCCAATCTAAAGAAACACTTTTAGTCCATAAACAGAGATTGTTTATATTGCACCTCCAATAAAAATAAATCAGTACACCTGTTAGTAACTATAGAATAAGTCCTAGAAAAATATTTGCAGCTAATTTAATTTGATGGTTCAATAGGAGAAAAAATGTTCCACAAGTTCTGTGATAACAGTTTTAGATGCCTGGTTGCTATACATATGCTCAAGAAATAAAAACAGAAAAACACCTTTTCTACAAAATGCCGTTTTCAAAACAACTTGAGTGTAATACCTATGTTGAAACCATGCTAAATTCTTTCATAGTGTCTTAAATAAATAGAATACAATATAACTATACTAACAGTTTAGTGATTTTTACAGGCCATTTACTGCTTTATTCAGTTTTAATATGTGCCATATTGTGCACAAAGAGGGATACTCTTAGGAACTTGAATCAAATTTTGATAACACTTAATTGAGGCAGTAAACAAGATGGCCAATCCAACTTTACACTCACCTTGCCTGTCGAAGTAACATATATCTATTTTTACATCTATTAAATTGTTATTGAATAAGCTAAATTTTGAATGTTTATTCAGGCATTTACAATGTATCACATTAAATAAGTCAATAAGTACCAATCCCAAGTTTTACATCAATAAAATAGAAAAAGAAAATACTTAAAACACTTATTTTATCAGATATACATTACAAAATTATTTTTTATTTCAATGAGTTATTGCTTGGGCCATGAGTATCATTATTATTTCAAGACATTTTTTAAAAGAATTAATATTATGTCAAACATGACCATAGCTTTAAATGTTTCCATCAATAACACAGAAAGG